TTTTAAGTGGGAGAACTTGCACAATTGGTGGCTGACTAAATACTTTTTTGCCCCACTGTAGGCATATTCCTGATAAAACAGATGAAGTACATACCTATGATACTTATTTTAAAGAACTGTAACATCATTATTATTTAGCTTCAACAATTTCTCCTTGTCTAGGCTACAGCTTTATCAAATAAAAATAAGCAAATGTATTCTATCACCTATTAAGGCATTTCAACTCTCTTCAGATTATAGAACTTACCTCAAAAAGATGCTGATGGGACAAATTACTGCGGGGATTGAGTTCAAAGATAAGAACATGATTCACTCCAGCTTGCCTCCAGCCATACGTGTTAATGCCAAGGAGAAAAAGGAATTCTATCAGAAGAAAGCCACCTCGATAGATCCTTATCAGTGGCCACACGTTCGATTCTTTCATTTTAAACACACCTATCAAGTAAAAGACCCAAATCAAACATAAACAATGGATAACCTACTAGAGATATCTAAGCAATTCTTTATCACAAAGGACATGTTCCTTCTTCTATATAAAATATCAATAACATGTAAAACATGACACTACTCAAATCCTTTCTTAATGCCTAGAATTATAATTTTCAGCAGCCTAAGAAAAAGTACTGAAATGTGATACCAGAAAATCCAAATTCTGCAACAGATTATCTTTAAAAGGCACACTTCCTTAATTTCAACCTATTCAGCAGTTATATTCCTTTTCTGATCAGGGCAGAGAACCTGCTGTCCTGCATATTTGTTAAACTACACTTTTCATCAGCCTGGCCCAACATGTGAAATTGTGATGAATGCTGGGAATTATATTTCAGCAACATATGGAAAGTTTCAGCGGGTAGGAACACCTGGCTGATCTTGTCTGGATTCAGAAGGTAAGTAGGGGCAGGCCTTGGTACTAGGATGACAAACCAGCAGGGAATACCAGGATAATAGTAATGGCAAACTACTTCCATACTGTTGGAAGAAATCTTCATAGTTGTGTCCATGGAGTCCCCAGGAGTATGCCTGAAGGCATCTTTACCTTTTAACATTTGATGCTCCTTACCCATGTTTATATTGAGCAACTTTTATTACCCAGATGGAAACCTGAGGGTGACTCACACATGACTTTTCCTTTTTCAATTTACTACAATATACAGTCCTAGCTGCCATGCATAAACAAAATTCTTAATATGGCCATTTCAACACAACTGCCAGCACCAGCAGGAGGGTATAAAAGTTCTTTCCCTTTGACATTCCTTAGCAGTTGATATTGAGAAGGATACTACCTTTAGAGCTGGAGATTCCATACAGTCCACATGATTAGTTGCTATGGATATAGTCTGTCCTCTTTTAAAGCCAACCAAGATAATGCCTATCACTATCTTATGGTAGTAGATCACACCTGTATTATGTAAAATACTCCCATTTCTACTTTGAATGCCTTAATAATCTGTTTTCTTTGATGACCTCAAGTTGTAGCATTATGAGAAAGAAAACTTTTTGCTCCCTTTCTTCACACCATTTATGTATTTACTTACCTTATTTATATATCATCATATTCCATATGGACTCATTGCCATCAATAATAATAGTAACATTATTTTAAGAATATTAGGCATGCTGATGATAAATTTTAACTAAATGTCCCCAATTTATTTACTTAATGTATTAATAATATAATCACAAAATTTCATATACCATACAAAGTGATTTAATGATTGATTGCAGTTTTTTAGGTGAAGGCTAGCATATGGGTTGTTCAACAGAACATGTACTAAAGTAAAACAAATGCAAGCAATACAGAAGGGACAACTGACAATGTGAATCTATTAGAAGTAAAAAAAAAAAAAAAAAGAGGGGAAAAAGAGAGCATGATCTTGGGAAAAATTTTTAAAAACATATTTTAAAAATTTCTGAGAGAACAAACACATAGCCTAGCAAGTAAAGTAAGGCAAAATGTTTGGGATAATAGTTAAAATGCTATACTGGGAACAGATTGTTCTGCTTTTGTCAGCTGGCAGTGACTATGTACGTTATAGTTCCTGGAAATATCTGAATTAAGGATATAATGAATAACTTGATAACTGTGCTAACTATTCTGACAATTTTGGACAATTTCCAGAAAGTCATGTGTGATAATGCAATCTAGTAGACAATCTGGGCCTAATTCCTATCACTACCAGTCATCATGGCCCATAGCAAGGGGTTGTGTTAGCCAAAACATCTAAAGGACACCAGGATATGATGTTTAGTGAATAATTTTGTGGCATTCATCTGAATTGGGATGTTCTGTAGTATGTGAGCAACAGTTCAACATTAAAAGTGTTCTGTACTAAATAACTCACTTGTTTTTTGAGGAAAACTGAAAATGAAAAAAATAAAAACTTTCAGAACCCTATTCCACAATTGACAGGTTAGGTCAACACATTACATGGTGCTACATTTTATACAGCAGACTTCTAAATTTCAGATACATGTAAGTGTATCTAAAGTTCCAGAGGGGTACATGCTCTAAACTGCATATACTCTAATGTTCAGACAAGAATTCATGAAACATGAATATGCAATACAGAGAACCATACACACGAACTGAGAAGCTTCCCACAATTATCTTTTGCTTTACTTTTCACAACAATCCTAAGGGGTAAAGGCTATCAGATCCTTTGCCTTAGGTTAATTCTTAAAATATTGGTTATAACTGCAATTTCCTTGCCAGAAATAGTATTCTGTATCCTAGGTATGGTAACATGAGCATAGTGGAGTATGCTTTAAAAAGCTGCTCTTGAAACTTTGTGAAAACTATGTTTTCTAATTTATGTAGACTCTAATTGTTCTAGATTCATTTATTTTATGAATTCATTTTTTTTAAAAAAAAGTAATATATTTTATTTTTTTCTATCTTATCTATATTTTCTTTGTAATAGAGCCTATTTAAAATTTGCTTCTGAACAAACATTCACAGGATTGCTGTCTAAAGGGTAAGAACCACAGAGTTTTCATTCAGAACTAAATGATGCAGGACTACTTCCTCTATTTCCTTACTTGGTTTTCAAGAGACTGTAGAAGAAGCTACTTAGGACAGTTACTCCTGCTATTTCCCTTTATAGGCTGTTTTTATTTCTCCATGAGTCTCCGAAAAACAGTATTTCTATTCTTCTCAGTTTTTAAAAAGCAGGTATAAGTGACAAGATTGCTAAACAGCTGATTACTGCCATTTAGATTTCTCATGACTGGCACCATTTGTCCCATGAACCACTTAATACTACTTCAGTCAGAAAATTTTAAACAGTAGTAAGAAAAAAATTGATCTTCTGTATATTTTTAGATCTACAATGCCAAGTACCTTAAATTATAACTCCTTGAAAGACACATGAATATAATTCAGCTTTGGAAAGATAAGGAATATTCAGAATGTTCAGCATGGGTATTGTAAGTATGGTGATCATTATAAATTAGTAAATACAAAAGAACTGAGAACACTTCAAATTCTCTTCTAATGAGCCTCTCTGAGTACAGTTACAAACCCAGTGGCAGACCTAAGTAGCAATTTGGCACAAGGAACACACTATCTTCTCTCAATTCCTTAACCAAAATATGGAAGATAATCCCATGATAGAAAAATAAATCAAGACGACCAAAAAGGCAAAGCATAAAATCATATATAAAATATATAAGAATTTTGTCTTTGCATCATAACCTGGCACTCACTATATATAAAAATATAATTTCAAACATTTTTATATATAGTGAGTGCCAGTTTATGACACCAAGACAAAATTTTTATATATCTTATATATGATTGAGATTTAGAACAGATGATCAGAAAATCAAAAGGGAAGCAATTCTGTCCAAAATCCTACATGGTCAATCAAGAACTAATGTGAGATACAAATATTCTTAAAATGAATGGAAATAGTGATCACATTGACAAGAAATGGGAAACAGAAATGGGAAATTCCCAAAGATGCGTAACACAGGCACATTTGATTTCAAAATGGGAACAAGATCCCAAAACCATGGGATCAACAATAAGACAGTCAAATAAATCCAAATGCTTGGTGTATTTATTTGAAACTTCTAGAATGCATATCATGTAATAGGGGAAAAAAATTCAGTCCCAAAGGATGCCAGCATATCTAATAAGCAGAACCAAAGAAGCTATACATGGCCAGAAATATTCTTTGGAAAATGGAAATCTTACTAAAATGAAGAGAGCGAAGTGGAACGTATGATCTAGTCAACAACACCACAAGATGTGAATAAAGGGAAAAAATATGCATGCTTAAAAAATGATTCAGAAGAAGTGCTTCAGGCAGTATTTCTCTGCTGTTCATTAAAACAGTCCACTTCCAGGTTTCTGCATAAGCGTGAAAAAAAGATGTGAATTCTTTAATAGTTATATTAATTTTAATGAGTAGATCCCTTAAAGTAGCAGCATCTTGTGGAATCCTGAATAGCAGAGAGGTCATGTATTCACCAATGGTCCTAAACACTTCTCCAGAAACATTTTCAAGGCATGCACAACCCTTAAAAACATTTTCTCTATATATCAGATGCAGGAAACTAGCAAGCAGTTGGATTTTAAAGAATGAAAATGTACTGAAGAAGAGTCATTGCAGAGAACTTACTTCAGATGGGCTCAGGACACTTTTAAACTAAAAACAAAACAACCTAAAATAACTCCCCCCGCCCCCAAAGAACAGATCTATCCACTATTGTTATCATTGCCTTTCTGTGCCCCAGGTACCAAAATAGCATTTTAAAACATATTTAGGGTTTGGGGCCATAATAAACATTGATGATTTAAAACCAGCAGGTCTTAGCCACCAAAAAAAAAAAAAAAAGCCATTCATCCTGGATTTGTAGGTAATTACTAAATCAGGAGGTAGAGGCCATAGCCACAACAGCCTTTGCTCTGTGTTGGCTGATACAATAGCTATGTCCTGTCCTAGATCATGAACGTGGCTTATATTCTTTTCTCTCTTTTGGACAGTTATAAACTAATGGGACTGTCCTAGAAAATAACTCAGAAGCCTCAGCTGCTATAAAATGCAGTTGCTCACTTGCCGATGGGAAAGATCAGTTATAGCTAGGTAACACATATATTGAGGGAGGTGCGTTGGCTGCCAGGTCCAATTCAAAGTGCTGGTTATTACCTATAAAGCCCTTATTGCTTGGCTCTTGCTACTTGTGGGACCACCTGTTCAAAGCTAAATCTGCCTGTTCAACATACTTTGGTCAGAAGGGCACGTTGTAAATCCCTCCATGAGATATTCAGGAAGTCTTACTGAGGAGTCCTAGCAACAGTTTCTAATTAGCCGATAAGATTCTTGGCTATTTGCAAAACTCAGTGTGAGAAATGACAGGACAATCTTCCCCTCTTCTCACTTCACAGAAAGCTATTTATGATTTTTCCTCTGTCTGCCTACTTTTGTACTCAGCTACAGCTCAGTTTGGCTGGCCTGTTCCCTTTTTATTGAACCTCTGCCATTGCTTTTCCAGCTTAGCTTACTCCTCTCCAGTTGATCCCAACCTTTACAGGTTGCTTTCAACATTGGGATGCAACTATTTAGGAGTGAGCCCAGACATATTTGTCTAAGAGCTTCCCTTCTCCCTCCTTTCTACCACTCTGTTATTACTCACTGCTGGTGGCTGTTTTGAAAATACTAGTTTCTAAATGCTACTATTTCCACGTGTGAAATTTTGTACAAATGCTAGGACAAATGGTTTTACCATATGATCTCAAACATCTGAAAGCAGGTGTTCTCTTTAGGTCAACAGGATTTGCTTCCAAGATACTGCTGAAGATCTGACTCAGAGAGATTCACATTATTAAAAGAACATCTTATTCCACTGCTTCATAACTTTTATAAAAAGCTGTACTGTATGTAGAAGCCTTCTGAATTTGCTTTAAGCATATGAAAAGCTGAAAAGATCATCCTGGCATCTCACATAAATTATGACCACCGATTTCAATACTAGCCATTTTATTTTATTTTATTTGTTTTTATAACAGGTCTATGACTATGGCCTTGATTTTGTGGACCTCAACCCTGTAGGCTTCAGACAGAACAAACAAAATTTGGTAACAGATTTCACCCTAAGTGATGAAATAATCTGTTGTTTGGCAAATCAGTGTGGATAATGTTCATTAACTTTACACACGTTTTATACATTTAACATATATTACAAGGATTTTATGTATGGGCAAAATCTCAATCACCTTTTAACAGGCATTTGACTGTAATGGGCATTGCTCTCCCCCATTACTCTGTTGAACTGAGTTTACTGTACTATAACGCTGGACTGGACTAGAGTATCCAAATGCCACTCCCACTCCACTATTCACAACCAAATTTTGCAAAGCTGTTTAGGAATGAGATTATGCTACTGCAAGCCTCATTTAGACTACAATATCCTCTCTCCCATCAGAACGCTTGTGTTTTCCACTTTCAAATTAGCAATTGAATACGAACACAGAGTTTGTTCTAAGAACACCCAGAACTGAAATAAGCAAATCACATAGTATGAAAAGATAAATTAAAAAGTATTTTAAAAGCTCATTCACAGAGAGGAAATTGAACACGTGGTTATCCAAAAACTGAATTACTGCTTTAAGAAAAGTACACTGAACATCCAATTTCTTTACTGTGTTGATACCTCTATCTGCATCCTTTACCCAGGGCCACTGCCAACCTGTAAAGTGCCTTTGTGCAAAAGGTTTTTTTGCCGTCCCTCAGCAGCCCTGCCTCCTCCACTGCCTGGGCCACACAGCCTGTGCAGCAGGCCCCATCCACCACTCCACTTCTTTCGTGTCCTCCTGCTGGCACCAGTGATGGTACTGTGAAGCGTGTGGAAAGGCCAGGAAGAGGTGGGGGTGGCACAAGTTACCCTTTTCTCCCACCACCTAACATTCTCTAGTGCTTTCCGGTGTCTTTCTACTCAGGGAACAGAAGTTGAATTAATCTGCCCTCCATCCCTTTTCATTGATGCTCCTTCTACAATGTCCATCTGGTACCCCCCTCCCCCGTGTCATGGCATCTTTGTGCAGAGTACAACTTGCACACCTGCTTGCAGTGGTCCTGCCTATATCCCATCTCTTCCTCTGTTTGTGTCTATCTTTCTTTACCTCTGTGTGTCTGCTAATTTTTTAAAAATCATAAACTCTAACCCTAAAATAAAATTTATGTTTCCTTTTATGACTTTTTCCCCCCCAAAGTATGGGTTGCAACCTTTAAGGAGGTCACAAGAAAATGGATGGTCACATCTTTCTAAGGCGGCTTGCCAGTTTGATGCAAAAAAATACTGGATGCACAGCAATGCCACTTCCAGAGGGCATTTTTTAAAACACATTGTTTTTTCCCCTTTCAAAGGAGAAGAAATTATGCCTGGAGGGCATTAGACTTCTATGCAAAGCTCTAATCATCTGACATGATGGAGAGGAGAGGAGAGGACAGGAGAGGACAGGAGAGGAGAGGACAGGAGAGGACAGGAGAGGACAGGAGAGGAGAGGAGAGGAGGGGAAATTAGGGCTGTGATTGTTATTTTAGCGTGGCTTCCATACGAGAGAGAACAACAAAAGCAACTTTCAGCCTGCCAGTGTTTTGCAAGCTATAGCATTTAAGAACAGTTTAAGAAAAACTGATTTAAGGCAAGGATAACTTTTTCTTTTTTTTCCCCTAACTCTGGTGAATAAGAACAGCTATCTTCAGAATAAAATAAATAAAAAAGAGATTTCAGGAATTATGCAAAAATAAACAAATTCATATAAAAATATGAATTTAAAATTAATTATTATAAGTTTATAAAGTTATAAGGCTCTATGATAATTTAGTTTGATATCTTAATAGTTAATTATTAAAACTAAATGGTATATTTATTTTCTGTGCAACCCTAACCCCAATAAAGCATTCACTTTATTCATGGAGGATTGTCAAATTCATTTAAAGAGATTAGAGTATTGCAAGGCTTAAGACTAATTTACACTTGATGTATGAAAACAGCTGAGTATTATGGAAGAACTCAGTTTCACTGTTTCTACAGGATCAATAATGTCTGACTGAAAAAAAGTTTATCCAAAATGTCAGTTTAATACCTTTATTTAGATTTTGAAGTGAGCTTGGCTCACTCATCCTATGCTAACATTAAACCTACAAGAAAAACAGTCATCCAAAACCCTGAATTCAAGTTGCAAGTCAAGTTTACTATTAAAAACTAACCTGAAAGTATGAGGGTGATATTCAGCACAATGAATATTCCACAGAATAACCCAACCCTGAAAGTAGTCCATGCTGGTGCCGGCTGCAGAGAGAACAGAACATTTTTGTTCATTTTTAATATCCTTATAAGATTATAAAAGTCTTTCACTGACATAATGAAACTTATTGATATATAAGTTTGAGTTAAGATGCAGGCAAGCCAATGACTGAATCCCTTGTACATGGATGTAAGCAGCAGCAATACATAAGCAAGAGCGGTCAAAAGAGCTTTTTATAACACCAGGGAGATAATTAAATAGTTCAGGTCACTGCCAGACTTGTGTGGGCCTTAGGATAATACTAGTGATACTCCATTACTATAAAGATTTCATTAGTATGGAGTAACTGCAACCAACAGTCACTTCTCCTTCTATGGCAGTATCAGTGTTGAATGGGATAAGCATCATGTAATTGCTCAGTTCTGACTGGCTTGAGGCATATATCATGTTTTAGTTCTGACAATGCTATGCATAGCATTTGATGCCTAGTACTGCTGTTGATAAAACATGGCAATTGTTTAATGTCAAGAAACCATTTAGCTCTCGTGAATGATTGTGTCAATGCTACTACTGAAAAGCCTTTCTTGAATGGAGAAGCCGAGTAGCAGCTGGAATGGTGCTAGGGCCAGTATCTAATCAAAATCAAAGCAGCAATTGGGTGATTAAGACAATGCTGATTGGGAAAGGGAAGCAGTGTTAGACAAGGAATCAGGCTCAACTGGCCTCAGCAGACATAAAAAAAATCCATGGCCTGAAGGAATATTTTGCTTATGTCTTAGAATGAATGATCGAAATCTCTAAGAATTACTTAGCTATACAAAACCCTCTGTTGCTCTCTTACTGTTGCTGTTTTACAGAGCTCTTTGCCTATGAGTTTTCATGGGAATAAATAGCAGAGGAAAATAACAAAATAATTAACTGGAACTGGAATGAATTACAGGACTGAGTTGAACACATATGCACTTTTTTATTCTAGCATTCTTTCTATTCTACACATTAATGTACTCTCAATTAACAAGATTTTTGAAGTGAAAGTTACAAAGTAAAAAGTTAAAGATAACTGAAGATATGGAGTTGATGTCATCTCTTCAATGAGTGTCCATCTATCAGATGAAATATAGTGAAGCACTTCTTATATTTCCATCACCTGTGCTGCCCCTAGTGGTGGGACACGTAATCGTTTCATGGCCTTCTGTCGGTCTCCATCTTCCAACTCATTGGTTACTACTGTCTAAAAAAACAAATAGATAAAAAGAAACTAATATTTTTTTAAAAAAATTAAGGCACGCATATTTACAAAAGTGATATAGCAGAATATGCAGTTATCCCATCACAGATGAAAGAGGCACTAAAAGTTCAAAAGCTTATTTTAAAATGTATCAAAAATCACTTTAATTAGTAGGATTTCAATTCCTACACAGTTATAAATAAAAATCTGTCATATTAGCATTGGAACAACCTGGCTCATAAACATACTATTTCATTCTCCTGGAATGGGTTGATTTAAATGTTTTCTGAGGGATATGTGTATTTCCAGGTGGACTAGTTAGAAACAGAAGTAGTCAATAGTAGTCTGGGCAGTTCATTTCTGGAAATACTGTAACATGAACCACTGCTGGTCCATTTTGGAAGAGGAAAATAGGATATTCCAGAGCCACCCCTTACACAATATACTCTACCTCTGTTTCAGAGATGAGCTGGTTGATTTTCTTGCAAGTATAGAAAGGAGCCACTTCAACATGAGCCACTCTCCAATCTGCACCTCGTGGTGTCTCCAGGATCTTATCATGTTTCTTCAAAATCTTACGGAACCCTGTGAAATTTAGATTCTAAAGGTAAAGAAAAAACACAACCATGTTATTTTCTTGATGTCTGTGCATATTTCTCTTTTGTTTGATATCAGGGAACTGGGAAGGGTAATAAATGTCAGCAGGAAGAAACTACAAAATCTTTCCCATTGTTTTTAAACAAACATGTTTTACATTTTTCTATCCATGCTAATAAAGCCAGTCCTTTTTTGCTTTAAAAATTAACGAAAGATCAGCTTTGAAAAATCATATATTCTCTCACAGGATATTGCTGCAATATAACCTCATCTTGTAAATTGCATTTTTAAATTAAAATGCCAGAGCTGAAGTTTGCCTGTATCCCATATTTGGTTGTCTTTCAGTTTTATACATAATCTCAGATGCATAAAATTGATTATAGTTACTAACAGCAACTCCACACTTCATACAGACAAAAACACAGGATTAGAAACCAAGCTGACGAACACTTGGCATATAAAGTACCGTTTACTGGGAATAATCATTATTGCAGGAAGTGAATATTTAAAAAAGAAAGTCATTGGATTATCAGAAAAAGCAAATAAAGAATTAAATATTAAGATATGCAAATTTTCACTTGTTTTTAATTCATTGTAGTACATGGGAATGAGTTAAAATACTGGTAGAAAAATCTGTTATGTTATTTTAAGGCTGTGGCATATTATATTTCATGTTATATTGCATCATATTGCATTAAATCATCAGAGAGATGGAAAAGTGTAATTTATTTTAACGGTGTAATTTATTTTAAAGATATCTATGTGTGTGTGTTGTGTATGCTTTTATCTTTTTTATTTAAGCTTCAAAAGGAGTACAATTAAAGAAAAATCCTTAATAGTTCATGACATGATATATAAACTAAATAGCAATAAAACCATATCATTCTATTACTATAATATAAAAATTATATAGTTTAAAAAAGAAGCATAACCTGTTATATAAAAGCACTATATGGTAAAGAGAAAAAAATATTCACAAAACATTCTTTCTATTCTACAC